TTTATCCGATTTGATCTTTATTCGTAATATGAACATCTAAACAATGTTATTTGTTACCAAATATATTAAAGTGGTCAGAAATACCTCGGCAAAATTTTATCGGTTCAGATTTGGATATAGCTCCCATTCATATCTTCATCTGATTTCACCACATAAATCACTTCGATAGGATGGAGTTTGGTAAAAATCGGTTTCGGTTTAGTCACAAATCCCTCAGTCTAATTTAACTGAAACCGATTCGCAGTAGGATATACGTTTCACTCTAAACTTCTCTGAATTCATAATATGCATTCAAAATTCATGATTTCAGCTCTTTAATTTCCCCCATTACTAAATTTAGTACCATTTACTATAATTATAGTACTCATATCTAAAGCCAGCTCCTTCTCTTAACCACAGACACTAACAGTGACATCCATACCAAATTTCAGGATTTCTACTCTATTCCTTCTCCCAATACCAAATTTGGTAGCATTCAATGCTTTTCGAACAATTATAGTACGCGTTTTCAGAACAATCTTCTCCCTTTCAGATACCATCTGTGGCCTTATTATTAAATTTGGGGTTTGCATCTATATACCTTCACCCAAAAATAAATTTGGTACTTTTTGTAAAATTATGGTACACATTGTCAAAACCATCTTCATATCTCAGTTCCAGATACCAAGAGAGACCTTAATATCAAATTACAGGATTCCAGCTATATCCCTTCGCCAAATACCAAATTTAGTACCATTTAGTACTTTTCCCACAAACATAGAAGGCATTTCCAAACCACCGCCAAATCTCAACTTCAGATACCAACAGTAACCTTAATATCAAATTTTAGGATTTCAGCTTTTAAGAAGTGTAGCACCAAATATAGTACTAGTTATTACAGGGTTGCCCATATTCGACGGACCCATCTGGCAACGCCATAACTTTTGACAGAGATGTCACATCGCTTAATGACATACCGCGTTTGAAGCGTCAGCCCAAGCAGATTTTTACCACGAACCAGTTGAAATTTACATTCAACAGAAGAAGTCAATTGTGAAAACTCAACGTGCTTTTAAAACATTAAAAAAAAATGTGAGAAGTCGACCAAGGCGATCGGCCGAAAATATCGCTGCCGTACGAGCCAGTGTTGAGAGGTCCCCAAGAACATCCCAAAAACGCCGTTCTCAGCAGTTGGGCATGGCTCGGTCCTCTTTACAACGGATTATTCGCGTTGATTTGCATTTGTTCCCGTACAAAATTCAATTGACACAAAGAAAGTTGCCTGCGGACAAGCCTCGTCGATTGGAATGGGCCTAAAAAGTCATCGAAATGGCCGAAGATGACGAGCAATTTTGGAATTACTCCACTGAAAATCTTCAGGAGATTCAAGAATTGCCTCTTCATGACGAAAAAGTCACAGTTTGGTGCGGCGTTAGTGTGAAAACGGTCATTGGACCGTTTTTCTTCCAAAATGAAAATGGCCATGCTGTTACCATCAATCAGGAGCGTTATCGCGACATGATGATCAATTTTGTGATGGCAATTATTCGTCGAAAGCGTATGAGGCAGTTCTGGTTTCAACAAGACGGCGCTGCACCGCATAACAATCGATTTTCTGAAGAATTTGTTTCCGGGCCGTTTGATGTCGAAAAGTGGTGATTTGGACTGGCCACCGCGTTTGCCCGATTTGACGCCGCCTGACTTCTTCTTGTGGGGATATTTGAAGTCAAAGAGTTTAGGTTTAAGCAGAAGTCTACTAATTTGAACAGCCATCGGACAATAATTAGCGTGTAATAAATACGAAAATTTCCACTAAACAGCGAATATTTTTAATTCCGACGAAATCACAAATACATTAAAAGGTCATCTCTAACCATAACACTGATGCTGATATCTCGGATATATAGCAAAATATCAAGATATCGGATATATAGGAAAATGGAACAATATATACGTAAAAGAAATAGATCCTACTTATTCTGCTTATAAGTCAATAATGGCTGATTTTTTTCAATTTGATTTACAATTTTGAATTGTACACTTTCTAAATTTCTACAACCCGCAACACTACGTGTTGAGGGTATTATATTCAGGTTGTAATTATCGTCCGATCCTCACGAAATTTTCCATAGGGGTAGGGTCAGAATTAGAGCCTACTGTCTTTGAAGATATACATTTAGGGGTTTAAATGGACCAAAAAATTAATTTTTGTTCTGATTCGCTCTACAGGTCTCAATTGAAAACTAATCGATGTGGAAGAAGAGAGCTAAAGACAGGGAAAAAGTTTATCATTTTGGATGACCTTTTAATTATATATAGCTGTAAACTGAACCACAACTTCTATGTGAAATTGCTTTGAATACCTTCAAAAACGAAATATTTCAAAATGGATTTGGACATAAGGGTGCTTTCAACATATTGCAGTGTTATAGGCTATTACATGGTCGGCCCGCACGACTATAACATTTGCTTACTTCTTTATATTTAGAGATCAAATATATTTGGGGCAATACTTGTGAACGACGGACGCTCAAAGACAATTTTTCAAAGGCGTCGTGAATATTTCGAAAAATAAATAAAATAAGTTTCCCCGTTCTTTTAAAGATCATGTTAAGATGAGCGACTATGAATTATAAGGTATATTTAAGAGGGAAAATACTCATTACAAATGTGGTAACCAATCCATTATTTTAATAGAAGTATGCGACGTGAAGCATATAGTTATTTTCTGGCCACAAAGATTCGATAAATAATCATTAATATCACGGTTTTTAGAAGTCGATAGATATGCACTCATTTACAAAACAAAAAGTAACTAGTTATTCCTTAGGAAAGGTCCTTCTTATAAAAATGAGTATTTTTGCAGGGTAATTCAATGATCGTGGATTTTTAATTATTTTTAATATTTAAGGCCAATAATCACTTGTATATATTCTAGAGTTATATGAGAAATATATCTACTCATATATACTTATGCATGCTTAACATTAAAATAAGTAGTTGTAGACGTTAAAGAGCACCTAGTTTTGCACCAATTTTAACCTTATCATTTTGAATATTTTTTTATTTAAATAAAATTCCTTCGTTTGTTTTGTCCTGTAAAAATAAGTAATTTTCATTTAAATTTGACTCCTTCATTTTTTTATTTTTTGAATGAATGTATTTTTGTGTAAAAATCTGAAACGAAACTAATAAGTGGTAACAATAAACTTTATTAATCAAATATTCTTTTTTCTACAAATTATCCTTTTTCTCTCCCCTTATGTCCTTTGATTCTGTCTCTTTCGTTCTTGCATACCATATGAATGTGTCTCGGCCAACATTGACAACATTTGGCCCATTTATTGCAAAATGGGATAAAAACAAATCACAACAATTCCTCTAATTGCTGTTTCGATATCCCCGGCATTGATATCCATCTGCAATAACGACCATGGATGGATGGCTACGATGACGACGAATGGCTGGAATTAAACTAAAACCGAAATGAACGAAACAAAAACCCGCAAAAAAAACAAAAATTGATGACTGGATGCTGAAATGCTAAACCTTGGCTGGAACCAACAAACAATTGCAAAACAAAACAAAAATCCTTTACAAAAACCAAAATAATCGATGATGATGATGCTGCTGGCTGACTGGTGGTTGCTGCTGAAATCACGCTGGACATCAAATTCCAATAACCAAACAAAAAAATCCCGATCGGGCGTTAATGGAAAATGGCATTTCATATAACGGCCTGACAATGATATTTGACCACTAACACTAACAATGACTTTGTGTCCGGTATGTTGGTCGGTCATTCGGTGTGGGTTTCTTTTTTTCTGACCACCACACATGAAACAATACTGGGAATATGGCGGGACAAAAATGTTCAACTGATGAATGGAACAACAAACGTCTGGCGGATTTCCTTTATTTTGTTTTTTGGTTTTTTCCTATCTATCCCTTATTTATTGGCGTTCTTCAAAACCTCCTTCCCTTTCCGTCTCCCGAAAAATCGATTTTCCAACTTTTGCAACCAAACAACGGAAATTGCTAAATAAACGCTGATGACGTCTAAACTCTCCCCCGACAAAAACAACAACAACGGATGGTGTCATTATTGCCTCCTGTTCGCTCTCCGATAATGGTCATAATCATGATTGGTGGCAATGCGACAATGATGACTTCACTGAACTGCACTGACAATGTCATGTTGATTGCCACAAAACAAAATTCTTCTACCAAACGACCCTGACGACATCTTTGCCTAACTCGGCGCTGCTCTGCGCTGTGCCACGCAACCAAATGCGGATGCTGTCATTGGGAAATGTTTGTCCCTTCTTTTTTCACAAACGCGCCCTGGACAACTTGGAAACAAAAACACATCAAAATGCAATTTGAAAACATCTGGCAAATCGTTAAAACTCTCGCCAAACAAAAATCGAAACTCTAACGAACACTATTGGTGGGAAACTGAATGGATGGCACGGAAAAAAAAAAACAAAACGAAATACCAAACTTGAAAACGCTGATACTTCCGACAACTGCTTTGGGTCACCAAAAACACAAAAACGCCAACTGTCAACAACTTTGGAAAAACTCAAACGTTTGCCTTTTATGTCTACATCAACATCGTCATCATCATCACCATCGCCATTATTAACGCATTATTAACGGTATCTGCTATTCCTTCATTGTCATCATCACCCCTACCATCATCATCATCGTCTTCCTCCTCCTCCTCCTCCTCCTCATCCTGTCTGTGACAACAACCAACAATGTCTGTCCTCACATAACCATATTTCAACATTCGTTGATTTTTCAACACGTCTCATTGATTCCAACTTGATGGCCTTCTACTTTCTATGTTTCGAACACCAAAAAAAAAAAAATCCCTGCCAAACCCATTCATTTTCCAAACCAACTCCTTACCTCCAACCCATAACCCCCCCACCCCCCATTGTGGCCATTTCAAATTGTCATCGAACATCCTGCTGCTGCTGTTGTTTGGCATGTTTCTTGGAAAAACACTTTAGGTGGCCTGGATTAAAGCCGATGCCAAAGCAATTTTGGCCATACACGAACATGTGATAACCAACAATGATCGGTTATCGGTTACCCACAATGATTACAATACCTGGACACTGAACATACGCAATGTAAAAATGGAAGATGCTGGCAAATACATGTGCCAGGTCAATACGGATCCAATGAAAATGCAGGTAAGTGGGAAAATAAAGAAATATTACGTATCTAAGATCCCTACAGGTCTTCATAGGCAAAAAATATATAAAGAACTTCACTACCAAGTAGGGCTATAGGTGTTCCCAAAGGCCATCAATAGCTAATATCATAGAATAGCTATTGGTCCTCTCATAGAGCAGCAATTGGTCCTCTCATAGAGGAGCACTTGACCCTCTCATAGACGAGCAAGTAGCCCTCTCATAGAGGAGTTATAGGTCTGGAGAACAGCTTCTCATAAAATAACTAAAGGTCTTCTCATAGAAGAGCTTGAGGTATTCTAATAGAAGAGCTTGAGGTCTTCTCATAGAAGAGCTTGAGGTCTTCTCATAGAAGACCTCTTGGTCTTCTTATAGAAGAGCTTGAGGTCTTCTCATAGAAGACCTCTTGGTCTTCTTATAGAAGACCTCTTGGTCTTCTTATAGAAGAGTTTGAGGTCTTCTCAAAGAAGACCTCTTGGTCTTCTCAAAGAAGACCTCTTGGTCTTCTCATAGAAGATCTCTTGGTCTTCTCATAGAAGATCTCTTGGTCTTCTCATAGAAGATCTCTTGGTCTTCTCATAGACGACCTCTTGGTCTTCTCATAGACGACCTCTTGGTTTTCACATAGAAGACCTCTTGGTCTTCTCATAGAAGACCTCTTGGTCTTCTCATAGAAGACCTCTTGGTCTTCTCATAGAAGAGCTATAGGTTTCTTCTCATATATGAGAGTTTGAGGTCTTCTTATAGAAGAGTTTGAGGTCTTCTCATAGAAGACCTCTTGGTTTTCTCATAGAAGACCTCTTGGTCTTCTCATAGAAAACCTCTTGGTCTTCTCATAGAAGACCTCTTGGTCTTCTCATAGAAGACCTCTTGGTCTTCTCATAGAAGAGCTATAGGTCTCTTCTCATAGATGAGAGTTTGAGGTCTTCTTATAGAAGAGTTTGAGGTATTCTCATAGAAGACCTCTTGGTCTTCTCATAGAAGAGCTTTAGGTCTTCTCATAGAAGAGCTTGAGGTCTTCTCATAGAAGAGCTTGAGGTCTTCTCATAGAAGAGCTTGAGGTCTTCTCATTGAAGAGCTAGAGGTCTTCTCATTGAAGACCTAGAGGTCTTCTCATTGAAGACCTAGAGGTCTTCTCATTGAAGACCTAGAGGTCTTCTCATTGAAGACCTAGAGGTCTTCTCATTGAAGACCTAGAGGTCTTCTCATTGAAGACCTAGAGAAGAGGTCTTCTCATTGAAGACCTAGAGAAGAGGTCTTCTCATTGAAGACCTAGAGGTCTTCTCATTGAAGACCTAGAGGTCTTCTCATAGAAGACCTGGAGGTCTTCTCATAGAAGAGCTCTTTGCCTTCTCATAGAAAAACACTTGCTCTTATCTCATTGAAGAGCTGTTGGACTTCTCATAGAAGACCAGCTGTTGGTCTTCTCATAGAAGACCTCTTATTAGTCTTTTCATAGAAAATCTGTTGTTGGTTTTCTTATAGAAGAGTTGTTGTTCTCTTCTCATAGAAGATCTGTTGGCCTTCTCATAGAAGAGACCTGTTTATCTTCTCATGGAAGATCTCTTGGCCTTCTCTTCGTAAAACCATGAAATAGCCATAACCACACCTTCACTTTCCATACCACCTCCAACCAAAGAAGCTCTGCAACACTTGTATAACGTTGGCATCATCCGGCTTGTCTTTGTACGTTTTCTATCCTTCACACACACATTTCCATATTTACTTTGCGCCCAGCACAACAAAGTCCTTGTCCTCTTACAAATTTGCATATCCTGGTTTTTCTTCTTTGTGCTGGGGTTTTTTGCTCTCTCGTTCTCTCTCTTGCCCGGTGTAGCCTTTTTAAGCACCAGACAAACTAATCAGATTATGTCTGGTTATGACAAAACACAAAATTTGTTTTAAAAATGCGGTATTATCTGAAGTTTACATTGTTGACTTTCGGCAAGGATTAGCATGATTTAAAAAGGATTCTATCAATAGAAAATAATTGGTTTTAAAAGGTGATAGCATTTCAGCAAACAAATATGGATTTACGGATGGCTTATGTGGTCAAATAAATAGATGTTAAAGTGGCAAAAATGGATTATGGAGGATATTTTTATTAAAATGTAAATGTTGATCTTAATTGCTTTAAACCTGTTTTTTGGAGAGATGTTATTAATTTGAGAGGGATATTAAATGAGATGTTTGGGTGGGGAACTGACTTTTCAGATAACATAAATGAGTAAGGGATTCCAAGAGTGAGTAGCGACTCAAAGATATTGAAGTGATTGTAGTGGGTAACCAGACAATACAGACGTAAATGACAATAAATTAAAGGGTTATTTGATCACTTAACAGGTCAAATGATTCAATTTGCCCAGGGGACTTTAATGTGATTGAAATGCCTCTATATATTCCTCGTCGAGTTCGTATGTATTGGACTGTGATGTAAGTCCCTACAAAGCTAAAAATTCTGGTAAATTGTCCTCTAAGTAAGTCGGTAAATAAGATCATTAAATCGGAAATTTTTGAAGATTTAATTGAAAAATAATACAAAGTTTTATGAGCCGAAGTTACATCATGACCTGAACTTGTAAACATACGGAGGCAAAATTTAGGAATATCACTTATGAACCCACTTTGAATAATCGGATCTGATACATACAGGGTGAGATGAAAAAACTGCAACCAACTTCAGACTGCTGTCATTTCTAAGCCACTCGTCCGACAGCTGTAAAAATTATTCCAGTGGCAGCTCATTACATTATTCAAAAGCAATTTGGTGAGAATATTCCACAAAAAATGTTATTCGTGATGGAATTTAAGCGTGATAGTATGATTTCTTTATATTTAGCTGGAGAACCACAAGTGGCTATCGTTAGAGCACTCCAGCATTTAAATGTGAATAAATCTTTTGTGTCTCGTACCATCGCTCATTACCGTGATACTGGTAGCTTAGCTCGACGCAAAGGAAGTGGATGGAAGAAAACAGCAACATCTGCAGAAATGGTTCGAAAAGTATAGAAGAGACTTGATCGAAACCCGCGTCGCAGTGGCCAAAAAATGGCTCGTGAGCTAAACTTAACGCAATATCTCATTCGGCAAATATTGAAAAATGAGCTCGGGGTAAAGCCATTGAAATTGCAAAAAGTGCAAGAACTTACACTGCAATGGAAGGAAAATAGACTCAAAAGAGCTTAAGAGTTGCTTCGCTTGGCCGAAAGTGGTGAACTGCCGAATTTGGTGTTCTCCGATGAGAAAACATTCGTTGTCCAGCAGTTTGTAAAAAAAAATGATCGAGTTTACTTCGCTCCCCGCTCGTATTAATCTACCCTGGCATCAGAATAAATGCCGAATATTATCGCGAAAATATTCTGGAGGGAGTATTTAAGCCTGGGTGGGCACGCAAAGATTTTGGGCGCAGATCTTTGACATTCAAATAGGACTCAGCACTGTCGCACTCAGCACGCGCCACCCAAAAATGTTTACAACAAACGAGGTTCCTCACTTCATTTCCAGCGCATAATGGCCACCAAAATCTCCGGATAACAATTCGTTGAACTATTGTGTCACGAGTATTTTGGAAAGCAAGGTTGGCATTAAAAAATACCGCAGTATCGATCGACCTTAAGCAAGCGCCTCGCCGAGAATGGGCCAAAATACCGCAGAGCAACATTCGGGCAGCATGTGACGGTTTCATTGGTCGTTCGAACAAATTTAAACTTATTTTAAAATTTGATGATGTTTCCGACATTTTTTGTTTCCATTCAATAAAATTAAAAAAAAAAAAAACAAGTCAAAAAGCAGTAAGTACGGCCGGGCCGAACTTTAAATACTCTCCAGCATCTGGAACGAATTTCGAAATTTTCAAAACATAAAATCCGTTAAAAATTCTGTTAAAATCTTAAAAATGGCGAAAATAGCCCTTAGATTGAGGTCTATACGACGTGAACCTACATACGCATTGTTTGTCATAAGCCGTTACCATGTTCAAATTTGAAACTGGAAATAAACGGTGAATAATGTATCTAAAATCATCAAAATACCGTAAATAGGGAGGTACCGTTATATCAGAGCTATACGAAGACCTGGACCTGCATAGACAATTTTCTGTCACAGGCTGTAGCATCTATTACGAACTTCAAATACAACATCTAAAACAATTTCGGTGAGTATTGTACCTAAAATCGTCAAAATATCGAATATAGTGAGGTACTGATATATGAGGCCTATACGAAGACTTGGACCTGCATAGGCGATTTTCTGTCACAGACTGTAGTTCCCATTACGAACTCTAAATACGTAATTTGAAACTACTCCAGTGAATAATGACGCTTAGATCATCAAAATACCGAATATCGGGAGGTATCGTTATATGAGGGATATACGAAGACGTGGACCTGCATAGACAATTTTCTGCCACAGCCTGTAGCATCCATTACGAACTTCAAATACGACATCTCAAACAATTTCGATGAATATTGTATCTAAAATCTTCAAAAAACCGAATATCGAGAGGTACCGTTATAGGGGGGCTATACGAAGACGTGGACCTGCATATACAATTTTCTGTCTTAGGCTGTAGTATCCACTTCGAACTTCAAATACCAAATTTAAAAAAAAAATCTGTGAATAATGTCCTTAAAATCATCAAAATACCGAATATCGGGAGGTACCGTTGTATGATAACGTGGACCTATATGGCCCATTTACGAACTTAACCTGTCTACTGGCAAAATATACATGTGTGCAAAATGATGCACGAAAGATAGCATGATTACAGCAGACAGACAGACGGACAGACGGACATGGCTAAATCGTCTTAGAATTTTACGCTGATCAAGAATATGTACACTTTATTGGGTCTGACATGAGTGACAAATGACAAAATTAATATACCCTCCATAGTATGGTAGAGGTTATAAAAATGTAAAAATTATGGCGTCTGACTTTATAGCAGTTTTTTTTATCTCACCCGTTATATAGAGACAGAATCTTGAAATATCATATGTAAA